CTGGACTTAAAAACTAGGAAAAATGCAATCTGAAAAATTTTTTAAAAATGCACTTTTTAAAAGTCAAGGTAAAAAAAAAAGTTAAATCTGTAAAAAAAATATAGAATAAGTAATATTATATTAGTGATATTAAAAATGATTATTGATAAATAAAAAAAAAAAAGCATATTTTGAAAAAACATAATCTAAGAAAACAATCTTTTTTGATCAGTATGTTTTCCAAATCTAATCTTTGGATTTCCTTATTTTTCCGTATTTTTATTCAAATATTTATTTACAAAACATGTTTTTTTTTTGCTCGCAAAAATAATGGAGCAAATTGAATTCCTTATTTCTGTCAGCCCCTTTGGCATGCCACCCTGGGCAGTGAGCCATACGGCACATTTGACAGGGTTTGAATCTTTCTCAGCATAATTATGTGCCGACGTCACGGGCGGCAGAATTTATGGCTGAAACTGGGCAGAACTTCTGAGCTGTTTTTTAGCAATAGAAATGGGTTCTGTTGCTGTGAGGGGACCGGTTCTGCTCAGACCTGTCGCTCCGCTGTGATCCAGATCGGAAGCGTGCCGTTGTCCCACCATTCGTTCACAAACTGAGTCTGATAGTAGCCCTTCTTCTCCTTTGTGGTGGTGTTGAACCACATGTTGTGGATCACTCCATGATTCTCAACGTAGCGGCCTGCAGAAAGACGAACATTTCTTCCCTCAGTCCAAATCTAATTATCTGGCTTATCATTATAGCTGTATTCCTGTGCAGAAAACAAAGTGTTTTACCTGTAAGGAGGGTGAAATGTGTAGGACTGGTGACGGTGATGTATGGAGGGGTGACATATTGGGCCTTGACTCCTTCCTTGGCCATCTGGTCAAGGTTTGGCGTGTCCACGTCCAGGTCGTAGTCCCATCGGAAACCATCGAAGGATATGAGCAGCAGCTTCTGCCTCTCTTTGGTCACCGGGAATCCATGGATGAAGGAGGCCCAGAGGACGCAGAGACACGCAGCCCGCAGCATGATGGACGCCTGGCAGATCTGACCTGACCCTGTCCTTCGCCCGAGACTTTAACTCCCCAGCAGGTCCCACCTCTTTCCAGTTCTCTGAAAGCACCAAGTTCTGAACAAAGTTTCCCCATCTTATCTTATCGTATTGATTAGATGGACTTTATCTCGGCTCTTTCAGCGTTCGGCCTGATGAGGTTTATGAGCCGGTTTTATGGCTGGGACTTGTTTTCACTGTGACACCACCCCACTGCCCCCTCCTCCCTCCTCCATTCCCAGTCGTTTGAGGCTTTGAGCACTAGCAGTAAAGCAGATTAATCTCTCCGGGCATGTTGCCTGTTTCTCCTCTAACTCGGTTGTTGATGCTGCCTTTCTGCACGTCTCTGCATCTCAGAGTTTCCGGTGAATCTCTGGTGATGGGAGAATGACACTTTGATGGCTTTCACCTTGAGTTGGGATGTCGCATGATTGATCTGACATCAGGAAAATGAATAGAACGAGAGCATATATCTCGTCATGGGGTCCCTGCGGAAGCAAAGGCCCTAATAGACTAGAAGACCTATTTGTTTTAATACCTCAATAGATTTGCCTCTGGATGTTGTTCAATACTTATAACAGAGACTTTATTTTGAAAAGCGTTTCAAATCAGATCAGTAATCTCAATATCTCTGCATTCTCAGGTAACCTTAACAATGTCCATCAAGTTGCCGGACAAGCTAACTCTTCAAATTTGTTCTTTATTGTGCGTGTCCTTGGTAGAAGTTCAAGGGAATAGTCTAATCTTTATGGAGATAAGGGATAACATTCATCAGCTTTCATTTACCTCATTCATATTCATCAGCTTTCTCATATTAACTCTATCCGCCCGTCGTCCACTGTCAGCAGGATTTGGTGAAGTGTTTTGGACTGCTGAGACCCGTGGAAGGCTCAGATCTCTGCTATGAGAACTTTATCAAACATACACGCTCAGAACTTGTGGGGAAAGCAAACTCCATCTGACCCTCTCAGTCCTGCGCAGGATTTCCTGCGGGATTCTCATATATTCTTCCAAGATGAAATGAGAGGTTTTTGCCTTCAGCTCTGCCTGCTGCAGAGCACCTTTCCCACACAAACAGCCGACAAAACAGTGAAAGTAGAGTGTAGGAGCACTACATAAATTAGGACTCTGTGTTGCTCATACTGTGGTATATTTTAGAAAGGTGTCTAACTCTTCTCTGACATGGGGGACCTCTTCTTGGGAAATCTCAGTCAACTATTGCTGCCTCTGATTTATGTAGCTGCGATGTGCAGCGGATCAAATGCACCTAGTTAAACGTGATAATTCCTCCAGGCTATTAGGTGTCACACACTCACTTGTCTGCTGTTGTTTTGTACTGTTTGCCAGACAGTAACCAGATCGTGTATTTCAGCATAGTGGGCTGTTACGCCCAAATGTGTTCCTTTGTGGGTACCAGATCTGCTCCGGTGGTCAGGTCTGCTCAGGGCCCTGCCCCTTCTTATGAATTATCAATATATGGCAACACCATTCGGACAAACTGTATTCCACCAGTTTCTTACGGATAAAATCTCTTTTGGAATCTCAACATATTATTACCTATATTTGCTATTATTTTACATTTCGCTGGTGATCTCAAGTAGCTGGAAGTAGAAATCAATCATTCTGAGTCTTAAAAGCAAGTACTAATTCGTAGGGAAATTATATTTAAATGTCAAATCATTCTGGCTTAAACATGTATATAAATGTACGCTTTATCAGACCATATTGTCCCA